TTCACAATTTATATATTAAATACTACGTATTTACAATTTACATATTGAATGTTTATAATTTGAATTGTAAATTAAGGGAGTGTATTCAATCATGACTTTCAAAGAGTTTTAAAGACTTTTATGAAACTTTAAAAGTTTGGAGGTATTCAATTCAAACTTTTAGAGAGTCTTTAAAAGTCAGGCTGTATTCAATCAAAATTTTTAATAAGTCTTAAAAGTCGTGTGGTATTCGATTATGATTTTTAAAGAGTCTTTAAAAGTCATGTGGTATTCAAAAAGTTATGAACTTTTGTAGACTTTTCCTTCTCAAATATAAATAGTTGAAATCCAACCATCAATCCCAAGATTTCAAAATTTTCTTTCTAATGAATGTTTTATCTCTCTATTTAAACTCTATTTTTTCTCCCTATTTAAACATTATAAACCTATCTAAATTCAATGAAATTATTTTTTCTTCATTATCCTATATTTTTCTCATACCTAAACTCTAATAATTTTTCTCTCCATCCTAAACTTTACAACTGGACGTACTCTAAATGTTGATGCGAGTGTAAAACCAACTTCCCTAAGGGCAGGTGTTGGAGGAATTCACAGACGTACAGATGGAGAATGGATGGGCGACTTCTGCGGGAAAACAAATTTTGCAGATGCGGCCATTATTGTAGAAGCTCAAGCTATTCTCAAAGGCCTTCAGTGGGCTTGGGTAAAAGGCATTAGGGATCTTGAAGTCCAATCAGACGCGGAAACTGTCGTGAAGTGGATCATGGAAAACTCTCCCTTGAGAGGACCTATCAATGAACATATTGAGAACATCAAAATGCGGCTAGCCAGAAACTGGAGTGTGTCTTTAAGGAACATACACATGAAGCAAAACGAAAGTGCTGATGCCTTGACAAATATGGCTGTGAATCTCAATGGAAACTAGAAGGATCTTGGTTGGTGCCCCCCCTGGCATTGAGGAAATTATTGGCAAAGATCGCCTTCGTGCGATGTGGGCTAGTAGCGATGCTAACTAGCTCTCTTCCCCCTCCCCTCTGATGTAAAAAAAAAAAAAAATTGAAATAATATTATTTTTACTTCATTAGTGCTTGCTTATGTGATTTTTTATTTTTTCTATGAATTTGTTATCCCTAACTTTCTCTAATTCTCCCTAAATACATGAACAAAATAAAATTTTCATTGTCAAATTTTAGTATATGTTTCATAATATTCATATAAATACTTATATATTTTGATTTTTATTCTTTTTATGTTTATATTCGTAATATATATTTTTCATTTTTTAGCAACATGTTACTACGAATAGCGAACCACTGTTCGCAACAACAATTTGGGGTTGCAAACAGTAGCACCTTGTTGTTATTCGCAGTCTCAAATTGCTATTGCAAATAATAATACTTTGTGTGATGCCTAGCAATATATCAAGTATAATTATATATATATATATATATATATATATATATATATATATATATATATATATTATTAATATTAGAGTTTTATTTTTTTATTTTATGTAACTTGTAATTATATTTTTAAATATTTTATTTTATTAATTCTTTTATTATAAATGTTATTGTTCAATATTGTTATGAATTTATAATAAAATAGTTTTTTTTTGTTGATGTTTATTAATAATATATATAAGTAATTATCATTTTTTTTGAAGAATAAGTAATTAGCATATAAGTCTCAGCATACTATGGAAAAAGATAATAATGTTGAGAATGTTGATGTGGGTGAAGAATTTTATGATATATTATAAATGTTTTGTAAGAAAATTATATAAATAATAAGTATCAAAATCATTGAAAGTTTGTAAGGATGTATTTAATTCAGAATTTCAATGACTTTTGTAGACTTTTTAAAATAAAAAGTTGATAAAAGTCTATGAATGTTTTTATATAGACTTTTATAGAGTCTTATAAAGTTTTAAAAAGATTTGAACGACTCTATGAAAGACTATCAAAGTTTATTAAAATCTATCATTTTAAAAGTTTTTAAAATTCTATAAAAGTCATGATTAAATACACTCAATCGTTATGCTGTGCATCCATATGCACCATGCATGGTGCATCCGGATGCAAAAACGACGTCGTTTTGACGTCTAACTTAAAAAAAAAAAAAATTAGAATTGCATAACTACAAATCCATAATTTCATAACTATATTCATCCAGAATAACATAACTACACATCTATAATTTCATAACTATAAATCCAGAATTGCATAACTACACATCCATAACTTCATAACTATACATCCAGAATTGCATAATTGTACTACACATCCATAACTTCATAACTACACATTCAGAATTATATAACTATACATCCAGAATTGCATAATTAAAAATCCAGAATAGTGAACTAAAAAATGAATAACATAATATTGTTGTTGGGAATCGAAACTGATTTTTTTTTAAAGTAGGACGCGTGTTTTGATTTAAAACGACGTCGTTTTTGCATCCGTATGCACCATGCATTGTGCATACGGATGCACAACATAATTTGCCGAATACACCCCCCCTTCCCTTAGTATGGGAATTATGATGGGCCCACCTTACAAAGTGAACTCTTGTCCATAGTGTCCAATTATGAAACAATAGTGTTGCATTGGTCATATTTGGAGACGGATTCAACATCCTAAAATATCAAATATGAGATTATAATAATTTATTGACCACAACAATCTTTTAGGGATTGACTTAGGATCTATGAATACTTTTCGATCAAATATTCATTATCGAGATTTTGGTCCAAAAGTGACATAGGAAAAATTACTGCTCTTAGTTATCGGAGAGGTTTTTTTTTTTTTTTTTTTTTTTTTTTTTTTTTTTTTTTTTTAACTTTTAAATAGTTATTTAAAATAATTATTTTTAAAAAATATTTTAAATTTAGAGTGACCTGTTAGAAATCGAAAAAACATGCAAATTAGACTAATGACATAAAATTGGTTAGTTTAGGAATTCAATTGTAATTTATTGTGTGGAGTTTAATGACATATTTGACGCTTATATACATATAAATTTAATTTTAGACTATATATTTTTTTGAAGAGTATTGTAAGAAATTTATATTGTTTGCAACAGAGCATGATGGCCCAATGCTCGAACAGACAGTCTCATGTGATTCCCATATGTGAGGTTTTGAAGGAAGATGGCAATACATAGCAAATCCCATATAGTTCAACTCACATCAACTTAAAATCTCAAAACATCCAAATGGTCATTCATTGAGCACTTTAAATATATAAAGTCTTCCTCACAAGTAATTATGTCTAAGCATATCAATCATCAAATATTCATAGACACATTTAATTCAAATCCTCAAGCAGAAATCAAGAAGAACAAATTTAAAAGATCTTTCTTGATGAATGGGAAATTAAATAATCGGAGCCTTGCCCTTATCAAGACGGGCCTTCTTTCTACGTTCCAATTGGTGGGCAGCTTCTTCATCACCCATTTCCTCATCTTCACCTTCTTCCCCTTTAACATATATTCAATATTTTGAAAACAAATTTTAGTTTAGTTGGTCAAAATGTATACACACATGCAAAATGCGGTCTCAAAATCATAATTAGACCATAAAAATGTGTAATCTGTTTACTGTTGTTCTTTTGAAAAGAGTTAATTACCAAAATGGTCCTCTGACTATTGTAAAATTACCAATTTGGTCCTCGACTATTTTTTTTACCTAATAAAGTCCTCAACTATGTAAAAGTTAACCAAAATGGTCCTCTGTCAAAATAAGCTTGTAACGTCCGTTAAATTGAAGGGTAATAAAGGAATTTTAGGATGCTAGTCGGTCAGCTCGGGCTGCCCACGATATTTAATCCAAATTCTTAATTCTAAACTCTGATTCGAAGGTTAGGGTTCGGCATTGAGAGCGAGAGCGCATCAGACTGGTTCGAGAGAGTGGGTTCGCTACGTACCGCTACCTAAATCCCAACAGATTCGAAATAAGAGAGGTTCGAGAGGTCTCCCAGCAAGATGCAACCTGGGAGTGGGATTCGCGCACACCCTGCACCAAGTAAGTGGTTGAAATTTTATTTCTGTTTGTGTACTGCTTTTGACGCAGACTTTTTTGGGTAATGGGTAGGGTAATGTGTATGATTATGTTCAGATACGTTGTTGTTATAGGCTGCATTTTGGCTTTTTGACTGCAATGATCAGATATGTCGCTATGTATGCTGCAATAATGTATATAAAGATGTGTTTAAAGCATTGGTTTGAGTTGAATAATGTCTGTAATGTTTAAAGCACATGGGGACACTGCATTGGTTTGAGTCTGCATGGGGAAATCAATGTATATACATGGGGACCACTGCAAAATATATAGTTTGTTTTTGCTGCAAACGAAACCAGTATGGGGACCACCATTATATATGCTTTTTGAATATTGTCTGTATAAACAAGCATACTATGTTTTTTTTTTTTTTTTAATTTATTGGATGTTTGGAATTTATAAAGTTGTGTTGAAGTTATTAAAGTGCATTTTATATACCAGGTGGTCAAGAGAACACTACTTTCAATCTTAAACTAAGGCATGGTGGTAGGATAGAAGTAGGCAACCCACCTAAGTATGTTGGAGGAACTGTTAAGTGGTTTTCTAACATGGATTATGATGAGTGGGGAATAATGACTTTATGGGAGAAAGTTCAACAGTTGGGATATAAGATAGATGGATGTAGATGTTTTTCTAAGAGTGATATTGGATTGGTAGAGTTAATTTTAGATTTGGATGCTTGGAGCTTGGTTAACTCTATTGTGAGACCTAAGGTACTAGAGATTTGGGTTATTGTAGGGGTGGTGGGAGAAGATGAAAATCAGATTGCAGAATATGAAATACCAGAAAATGACATTTATGAAGAAGAAAATCAGAATGTAGATCCAGAAAATGATATTAGGGAAGAAGAAAATGATAGTGAGGAAGAAGAAAATTACAGTTCAGAAGTTGAGTTGGACCAATTTGAAGGAAGTGACTATGAAATTGAGCAAGGTCAAGTTGATGATCAAGAATTTGTTAAATACACAGATCCAGAAATAGAGTATGCAGGTGAGGGAAACCTAGAAGTGGTACATGATGCAGGTGAGGGAAATAAAAGGCCTAGTAACAGTGAGGTTAACTTTTCTGATGAGGAAAGAGGGACTGATGTACATTTGGGTGTGTCTATTAGGCCTAATCCTCCTCTTCCAGAGTTGCCAAATCCTTTGTGGCTTGGTAGAGCTTTTATGGGTAAAGAGGATTTCAAAAATGCAGTAAAGACATATGGAATACAGTATGGAAAGGAGCTGAAATTTAAGAAGAATGATAAGGTTAGGTGTGTAGCTGTATGTACCCAAAGTGATTGTAAGTGGCAAGCAACCTGTAGAAGAGATCCTGATGAAGCCTTTTGGAAGGTGACTGTTTTCAATGATGAGCATGTTAATTGTCCATGGGTGAGTGACAACAAGTTGATAACTTCATCCTTAGTTGCAAAGAGATGGAAAACAAAAATTGCTGGAAATAGTAATTGGAAGATGGGTGAGTTTAGAAAGGCAGTCTGCACTGATGAACACCATTCTTTAAGTAAAAGGCAAGCCTATAAGGCATTGGACTTTGCTAGGCGTGAAATAAAGGGTGAGCTTGAAGATAACTTCAACAGAATATGGAGTTACCGTTTAGAGATACAAAAAACAAATCCAAGATCCAGATGTGAGGTAAAGTTATCTGATTTACAGTATGAGGGAGGAAAGAATAGATTTCTTAGAATGTATATGTGTTGGGAGGCTTGTAGAGATGGGTTCAAGTACTGTAGAAAGGTGCATAGATGAGGGAGCTTTTGAATGGTTGGGTGATAAGCATCCTTCACAATGGTCTAAATCTCATTTCTCCACAAATGCTAACTGTGATGTGCTTGTCAATAATATTTGTGAAAGCTTCAATGCTATGATATTGGATGCTAGAGACTGCCCACTAATACAATGTCTTGAGATTGTGAGAAAACAAATTATGTTGAGGTTATTTGAATGTAGAAAGCATGCAATGAAGTGGTCAGGAAGAATATGTCCATCCATAGCAAGGAAAATTTCTATTTATGAGAAACAAGCAGGAGGGTATTGGGCATATCAAAGTACAGATGTATTGTTTGAAGTTAAGGGGGCTACTGAACAACACCAAATAGACATTGGAGCTAGGACATGTTCCTGTAGGAAGTGGGATCTCACTGGCATTCCTTGCAGGCATGCCATATGTGCTCTTTGGGTTAAGTATGGAAAAGCTCCACTACATGACTATGTCCATTCATGCTACACTGTTGACAATTATAAACAAGCATACTCAGGTTGTATTCACCCTATGTCTGGGCCTCAAGAATGGCCAAAAACGGATAGAGAGCCACCACTTCCTCCGTTGTTTACAAAAAAGGTTGGCAGACCAAGAAAATTAAGGAAGAAATCTGCGGGTGAACTAACCAAAGATGGAGTGAAAATGTCAAGAATGCATGTTACCCTTCATTGCTCAATCTGCAAGTGTATAGGCCATAATAGTAGGAAGTGTCCTCAGGTAAATTACATACTATTTTAACAAATTATATTATGTTTTACATTGTATTCGTTTAACAAAGTAACATTACAAAAATGCAGAGAATAAATAATGCAGCCCCAGCAGTTCCAGTAGATCCAGCACTCATTCCAGTAGTTCCAAATGCAGTTCCAGTAGATCCAGCATTCATTCCAGTAGTTCCAAATGCAGTTCCAGTTGATCTAGATGCAGTTTAGTTCCAGATGCAGTTCCAGTTGATCTAGATTAGGTTGTTAGTTAAGTGCTCTTGGAAACTATTATGTATGTATGATAGCTTTTTGCAAACAATTTGCTGTTTTGGTAACAATATGATAGTTGCTGTTTTGGTAACAATTTGCTGTTTTGACAGTCTTATGTTGTCACCATTTTGGATGATAATGTTGGATTAGTTTATGTTGTCAACTGGTATGACAGTGTTGGATCAATTTGTTGTATGACAGTGTTGGATCAGTTTGTGGTATGGCAGTGTTGGACTTTTATCATTGGCATGTTGTCACCATTTTGTTGTTGAAGTCCAAGCGTGGTCCTCCAATGGAGATTCAGAAGAAGAATGCGTGAAGGAAATAACAAATGGAAGAAGAATGCGTGAAGCTAGGTTTCAATTGGCTAAATAAGAGGAGAAAAATAACAATGAAAGTGAAATTCCTCTATTGCCCTTGACTTAAACAAATTTTTAACAGCTGACCTAACAGAGGACCATTTTGGTTAATTTTTGCATAGTTGAGGACTTTTTTAGGTAAAAAAAATAGTCGAAGACTAAATTGGTAATTTTGCGATAGTCAGAGGACCATTTTGGTAATTAACTCTTTTGAAAATCACAATTTACTATTTTTCTTGTCTTAAAATATAAAAATTTAAAACTCAAGAAACTAAACGTAGAAAGGAAAAATAATTGAAAATGGTTTGATATTGTTGAATGAACTTGTTATTAGCATTGTCAAAGTCATAGTTTGTGTATTTCGTGTATATATCATTTTATAGAGTAATATTTATCATTTTGAACTTATTTTTTAATTAGTTCATATTAAAAAAAAAACATAACATGTCAGTGTATATAACCAGTAATTGAACCATTGACCTATTGAACTTTATTGAAAAAAAAAAAAAAGATGAGAAAATTTAATATTAAATCATCAAGTTTTAAATATGTAGATATAATTGTCACAAAATATGAAAAAAAAAATTCATTAATAAACCCTTTTTTTTTTGTTTAATAGGCTAAGAAAAATTATAGTTTATTCTATCCAAAAGAAAATTAATTCATTCATTCATATATACATGTGTGTATGCATATATGTATGTTTGTATATATAAATGTATGTATATAATACTCAGCATCTAATGTGTTATGGATTAAGTTGTTTTTAAAAATGTTATTACGTAATTGATATTTACAAGAATATTTTTATCTTTTTGTTACTTGATAGGTGTTCATATAAATGATTAAAAATTATAAAATACTTACTAGATATCCCCCACCCTCCTGATTCCAATGGTTCAATAACTTTAACAGACCCATTTGTCAATCCAAATGCAAGTTGGTTGGGCTCTTGTGGATGCGCTGCAATCACAACTGCATACACACCCTCATTTCTGCAATAATATTTTTTTTTTTGAAAGGTAATAAGGTACTTCATTAATAATCAACCAACAACGAAAGACAGGGTGGTGGTACACCAAACCACGACCCGAAGCCAGACAAAGAAACAGACGCCCGTGCTAGCACATGAGCAACATGATTCGCTGACCTATTGACATGGCGAACAGAAACGTTCCCGATGTCTGTAGCAATCTTACAACATTGCTTAATGACCAAACCAACATAAGAAGAGTTCAGAGTACGAGAATTAAAAACAGAACAGAAATTTAAGCAATCTGATTCTAACATAATATTATTAAAATGGTGTGATTTCATCCAAGTTAAAACTTCCTTCACCGCCATAGATTCCGCCATGAAAGGATCATTCCCACACTCCAGCCGTGCACTGCAAGCAGCAATAAATTTACCATTTGAATCTCGTACCACAGCGCCAAACCCCGCTCCATTATCAAACGTCGCTGCGTCCACATTACATTTTAGAAAACCAATAGGGGGAGGTTCCCAAGCAGAGCTACGCATTCCAGTAGCATGAGACACAGAAGTTACCTCATTGCGAAGCTGCTCCCATGATGAAACCAGCGTCTGGACATGCATACGCATCGACTCCAGGACTGGCGTTTCATTCTTCCATACCAACTCGTTACGAGCATTCCAGATTACCCACAGTTTAGCCGCAGCAACAACAAGATCTCCCACTGGACTGGTGCGAAACATAGTTGTCATTGTAGCAATCAAGCCATTGTCGCTGAAGGTAAAAGCACTCCCCCATAGTTGCACAGCTACTGGACAATCCATGAACAGATGATCAAGCGTGATGGAGAATGTCAAATAAACTAGGCCGAAGCAAAGATGGAACAAGGCTGAGCTGAGCAAGGATGCTGAGGAAGGATTAACAGAATTAACCGCCAAGGGTCTTTTTGCCTTTTCGCTCCTTTTCATTCTGTTATAACTGCCTCCTCCTTCTCTTATAAAAGGAGTGATGCTTCTTCTTTTTCCGGTGTAACACAAAACGCATATTCATAGCTTACCTTCTCCTTCCCATGAACTCAATGCTTAACCACACACTTCTCAACTCTATCTCCTGATTTCGACATGGTATCAGAGCGGCCTCATAGCTACGCCGCCGCTGTAATCATGGATCGAGATGCCAATCCAGCGAACCCTACTGGAAACGCAGCAGGGAATTCAACTCCGATCAGTCAAGCTCCAGTGAACCAAAGCTCGGTGCACAGAGTAGACGAGCTTGATGATCCAATGTATCTCCATGCGACTGAGAATCCTAACACGATTCTAGTTTCCCCTTCCCTATCTGAGCAGAACTATGCGACTTGGAGTAGGTCTATGAAGATCGCTTTGAGCGTGAAGAACAAGTTCGGTTTTGTAGATGGATCGATTGTCTGTCCAGCTCACATGGATCCGAGGTATAGCACTTGGAAAAGATGTAATGACATCGTGTGTGCGTGGATCCTTCGATCCCTTAATCCGTCCATTGCTGAAAGCATGCTGTATTTCGAAATAGCAGAAGAGATTTGGAATGCCTTGAAGAAGAGGTACAGCCAGGCAGATCCTCACAAAATCGCTGAGATCCAGAATGAAATATACAAGAATGTGCAAGGTAACTCTTCAGTTAATGAGTACTTTACAAAATGTAATGCACTTTGGGAACAATTGAGAGCTGTGAGACCTCTGCCTGTCTGTGAGTGCTTACCTAGATGCAAATGTACTATTATCAACAAAATTAAGAAGGACAGGGAAGATGATCAAGTGATCAGATTCCTAGAAGGCCTAGGTGATGAGTTTGAGGCCATAAAAGCAGGTGTTCTGGTGATGGAACCTCTTCCAAGTATGGAAAAGGTCCTTAATATGGCTCTGAAATTAGAAAGGAAGATCAACAGCTCAGGTAACTATAAAACCTCAGAGATTGTCCAATCTAATGCCATTCAGAATCAGACAGCAGATGAGCAAAATGTTGTGGCTGTGATTAATGGAAACAATAAGAAGAAGTTCAATAGTTTTGGAGGAAAAAGTGTGGCAAAGTGTACATACTGTGGAATGAATGGGCATACTGTGGATAAGTGCTTTAAAAAGCATGGATATCCACCTGGATGGATACCTGGTTTTAAATCAAGAGGTAAGCAAAGTCATGATAATCAGAACAATCAGAACTTCTCTGTCAACCAAGTCAGTGATATTGGGATGACACCTGATCAGTTTCAAAAGTTGGTCTCCCTTTTACAAGGGCAAACTCAAGGAGTTCAGGTCAATCCAGCTTCTACCAGTGCAGCTATCACAGTGAACAAGGCTGCAATGAAGCCAAATTTCAACACCATACCTAATAACTCTGAGGAAGGCAGGTCTATTCCTAAATCCCATATTAATGCTGTTTTGAACTGTTCAGATGTATGGATCCTGGATTCAGGAGCAACTGATCATATCACATGTTCTCTGGAATACTTTGAGAACTGTCATAAAGCTCTTGACATATTTGTCAAGCTACCAAATGGAGAAGATGTACAGGTTTCACATGTGGGGGAAGTCAAGTTGTTCCCTAACTTGATGCTGAAAAATGTTCTCTACATTCCCTCCTTTACTTTCAACATAATTTCTGCCACCAAGTTGACAAAACAAAATGAATGCACTCTTGTCATGAATGCTAACACTTGTGATATCCAGGGAACACATGGGATAATGGATGGTTTTGCTAGGACCAAGGGAGGACTTTACTTGCTTGAACATCCTCCTGCCAAGATAAAACAGCATGATAGCTCTGGAAAACAATGTAATAGTTTTACTTTGCAAATGTGGCATAATAGGTTGGGACACTACCCCATTAATAAGATTCAGAACCTTAGTGGTGTTGAATTTGTGCAATCTCATAAATACACTGATTTTGTCTGTGATATATGTCATCTTGCCAAACAAAAGAGATCAGTTTTTCCTGTTAGCAATACAAGAGCTGAAAGATGTTTTGACCTTATTCATTTAGATGTTTGGGGCCCTTTTGCTGCTGCATCTTTCAAGAAAGAGCATTATTTCTTAACCATTGTTGATGATCATACTAGATTCACTTGGATACACTTGATGAAAAACAAGTCAGAGGTTAAAGGCCTATTCCAGAATTTCTGCTCTTATGTTGATACTCAATTCTCAGCTAAGGTAAAAATAGTAAGGTCTGATAATGGGACTGAATTTTCCATGGATTCCTTCTTTAATGAGAAAGGAATAGTACGCCAGAAATCATGTGTGTACACACCACAGCAAAATGGGACTGCAGAAAGAAAACACCAACACATTTTGAATGTTGCAAGAGCCCTCAAGTTCCAGTCAGGTGTTCCCCTAGTTTTTTGGGGACATTGTGTTCTTCATGCATCTTACCTGATTAACAGATTGCCCACACAAGTGAATGGAGGAAAAACTCCCTATGAACTTCTATATAATAAAGCTGTGGATTACAGTCTTCTAAGGAGTTTTGGCTGCTTGTGTTTTGGTAGCACCATTTCCCAAGGAAGGCATAAGATGATGCCAAGGGCAAGGAAATGCATATTTCTGGGATTTCCAGCTAATGTAAAAGGATATGTTCTATATGATATTGCTAACAAAAGTACATTCATTTCCAGGGATGTTGTTTTTTATGAGAAAGTGTATCCTTTCAAGGATGGGACATCAGACAGCCTCCATAATCAAGGGATAGATCCAGTCTTACCATTGATCCCTGTTGATGCAGATGTTGATATACATGGCCCCCATCTCACATATACAACAGATGTGGAGGAAGATTTCATGGATGCAGAAGAGCTACAACATACTGAATCCAGAACTAGTCATGAGCCATCCAATGCAGATAGGCCCACAACAGACTCAGTTGGTGGTTTTGGGGATGAAATAGAAGTATATCCTCAAAGAGAAAGTCTTAATCAGCCTGAGCCTAGGAGATCAGAAAGAGTAAGGAGCATCCCCACAAGGCTTCAGGACTACTACTGTCAGTCTCTGACCCAGACTAGCTCACAAAAGAGAACCTCTCCACACACTCTAAACAATGTCATCTCATTTGATGACTTACCTCTGAGCCACAGATTATGTGCCTCATCCATCCTAAATGCTCATGAACCACACTCTTACAATGAAGCTGTTAAGGATGAATCATGGAAGAAAGCTATGCAGACTGAGATAGAGGCCTTAATTGCCAATGAAACCTGGATATTGACAGATTTACCTGCTGGAAAAATTCCCATTGGATGCAAGTGGGTTTTCAAGATAAAGCATAAAGCAGATGGCTCAATAGAAAGGTATAAAGCCAGACTTGTGGCCAAGGGATACACTCAACAAATGGGAATAGACTACACTGAGACCTTCTCACCTGTTGCAAGAATGACTACAATCAGATCCTTCCTAGCTGTAGCCATTGCAAGAGGATGGGATGTTCAACAATTGGATATAAACAATGCCTTTCTTCATGGTGATTTAGATGAAGAAGTATATATGGTGTTGCCTCCTGGATTTCACTGTGACAAACCAAGGCAAGTATGCAAGCTGCTAAGGTCATTATATGGGTTGAAGCAGGCCAGTAGACAGTGGAATGCAAAGTTGACTAAGGCTTTGGTTGACAATGGTTATTCTCAGTCCACTTCTGACCCTTCACTATTTACAAAATCCTCAGGTAGATCTTACACTGCTCTCCTCATTTATGTTGATGACATTTTGGTAGCTGGGAATGACCCTTCTCAGATCAATGCTCTAAAACAATTCTTGGATACATCCTTCAAAATCAAGGACCTTGGCTGCCTGAACTATTTCTTGGGCATTGAGGCTTGCAAAACTGCTAATGGAGTCAGTTTGTTTCAAATGAAGTATACTCTGGACATTTTAAGGGAGAATGGGTTCCTGGATGCTAAACCAGCAAGGAGTCCAGCCACCACAGGAATTAAGCTCACTAGCACACAGGGTGATCCCCTTGACAGCCCTGAGATTTACAGAAGGTTGATTGGTAAACTTTTGTATTTAACTAATACCAGGCCAGACATTTCCCATTCTGTTCAGCAACTCAGTCAATTTGTTGATAAGCCCACTTCCACTCACCTCACTGCTGCACACAGGGTCCTTAGATACCTAAAGGGTTCACCAGGAAAGGGGTTATACTATCAGAAAGAGTCCAAGCTAAGACTGCTAGGCTTCTCAGACTCTGATTGGGCAAATTGTCCAGAGTCTAGGAAATCCATCACTGGCTATTGTATTTACCTTGGCAGCAACCTAATCTCATGGAAGACAAAAAAACAGGCCACTGTCTCAAGGTCCTCCTCAGAGGCTGAATATAGGGCCTTGGCATCAACAGTTTGTGAGATTCAATGGCTACACTATCTCCTGGCAGACTTGCAGGTTACTTTTGATGTTCCCACAGCTTTGTTTTGTGACAATCATTCAGCAGTGGCTATTGGGGAAAATCATGTTTTTCATGAACGAACAAAGCACATAGAGATCGATTGTCACATTGTTAAACAAAAGGTTAATGAGGGGTTGATAAAGCTGCTACCTATTCCATCTCACAAGCAACTAGCTGATGGTTTTACAAAGACTTTGCCAGCTCCAATTTTTGATGCTTTTCAACTTAAGCTTGGTCTTCGTGATGTCCACACTCCAAGCTTACGGGGGGGTGATGGAGAATGTCAAATAAACTAGGCCGAAGCAAAGATGGAACAAGGCTGAGCTGAGCAAGGATGCTGAGGAAGGATTAACAGAATTAACCGCCAAGGGTCTTTTTGTCTTTTCGCTCCTTTTCATTCTGTTATAACTGCCTCCTCCTTCTCTTATAAAAGGAGTGATGCTTCTTCTTTTTCCGGTGTAACACAAAACGCATATTCATAGCTTACCTTCTCCTTCCCATGAACTCAATGCTTAACCACACACTTCTCAACTCTATCTCCTGATTTCGACAGTTTCGTGGTCATGAGCGCAAAAAGGGCAGCCTCCGCCCACCCATACATGTTTGGTCCTGAGATTTTCGCGCAAAGGAAGAACATCCCGCATGCAACGCCATATGAAATTACGGATCTTTGGAGGGATCGGCAACCTCCAGTGGCGGACCCAGAAATTTTTTTCAGCGGGGGCAAAATATTAAAGCAAAATTGATAATTAGAAAAAAAATGAAACACTTCAAAAGTATAGCCATAAATAATATTGGATATAAGAAAATTATAAAACACATCAAAACATTATAAAAAATATTCATAACAAAATATGAACATAATCAATTTGATAAAATAATTTTAATAAAAGATCCATTATAAATTACACATCTCATCTCATTATTATTATATCAATGAAGATTATATTATGGTGTTGAAGCAATATGCACTATTAATAATAGTGAAAATGTGAAATAATGAACATAATCAATTTGATAAAGTAATTTGAATAAAATATCCATTATAAATTACACATCTCATCTCATTATTATTAATATATAAATGAAGATTATATTATAGTGTTGAAGCAATATGCACTATTAAGTATTAATAATAGTGAAAATGTGAATGAAGATTATATTATGGTGTTGAAGCAATATGCACTATTAATAATAGTGAAAATGTGAAATAATGAACATAATCAATTTGATAAAGTAATTTGAATAAAAGATCCATTATAAATTACACATCTCATCTCATTATTATTAATATATAAATGAAGATTATATTATAGTGTTGAAGCAATATGCACTATTAAGTACTAATAATAGTGAAAATGTGAAAAGGTAGTGCTAAAAAGAGAAGGAAACGCTGAAAGCAGTTAGAAGGGATCGAACTGTGGCCTGCGTGTAGACCAACCATGTGCTCTGCCATCTATGCTAGACCACATTTTGTTAACACTTCTCTATTTTATAATACTTATACTAAAACATGTACTATATATACACATATCCATACAAGGGTTATATAAGGGGTGGGGGTGGAGTGAGTGGGGGCAGCTGACCCCACCGCCCCCACTGTAGGTCCGCCTCTGGCAACCTCCACAATTTTCTCCATTCTGTGAACTCCATCTGTTGGTTACCGTATGTATTTGGCTGCATAAGATACCGGTAGCCTTGACGCACACTGTATCTACCATGAATATCATCTTTCCAGAACCATTCATCCTTGTAATCAGGTGATACAGGCGTAGCAATGATCTTAGGGACGTCAGCTTGATCAAATAGATCATGGACAACCTCGAAGTCCCAAGTGCCCGAGCTAGTGAGAAGTCCAGCCACCGGGGCATATTTCATTAAGAAAAAGAATATATATTGTTCATTAAAAAATTAAACAAGAATATATTCTAAAATTCCAGGCCAAAAAGTTGTTTGTTAGTTTGTTGTTATCGGACCTTTGATCCATCATTATATTGCTTTTGTGATATAAATTTAATCAATCTATTTTAATTCAATTCATAAAAATAACTTCATTTCCAGCAATCTCTTGAAATCATCAAAATTTTTATTCATAGGGAGGTGCTCTTACCTATTCAATATGGCCTGAGATAAATAAGCAGATGGAGCAATATGACATCTCGGTCTTAACCTATGTGCATCAAACACTCCAATATTCCCATCTTTGAAGGATGCATATATTAGTTGGCAATTGCAAGAGTATGTAGCAAAAGAGATTGGTGCAGAAAAAGAACCATTTGGGATCCACTGAAACAACACATGCATACTCCAAATTAAAACCCGGTAGAGAATGCTAGACCAGTGATAGGTTTCTGGTGTTCTCCAAGTTCGTTCAAGTCCTATATTTAAAAATCAATTAAATTAGTACGTACATTTTAAATTATCATACCCATAACACAGTAAGATATGATATGTCATAGAGGACTTACATTATCTATCCTATCAATCCTATCATATATATATATGGTTGATTTCTCCGTACCAATTACAATAATGTTATCGTCATGAGGATTATAAAAGTAGTATTTACTGATTTTATTCTAATATTGGAACTAAATTCAATTATTACTTTAAATGAGTTGCTGATGTCTTATTTTGAATGAAGAATTGTGTACAGAATTGAACGCAATAAATGTCCAGGTTCAGTGCATGTGGTTGGATGGGTGCATGCACAATCCGGTGAAACTGGTCACCGGGGGAGGATGACCCTACTATTCAAAGGGCTAAAGTATAATTTCATACACAAATACGTAATTCGAACACAAAAAGAAATTGCAAAATAAATAAAAATATTTTTTTTTGAAAGGAAATAAAAATATATTAAAACCAATAGTTAGGAAAGAAAATTACTTTGATAGGTAATAAAAAATTATGTTGGCTACAAATCATGAAAAAAGATTTAAAAAATCTTAAAATTTATTTACTCCATAAGTAGTTAGAATTTGGCAATTTTTTTTAAAAATAATATCTCAATAATAATATAATTAGTGCCACGTCCCTGCAATTAGTGACCTGGATCCTAGACTTTTTTTTTTTATAGGACCTGAACTGATCTTCTATAAGTCGGTTCAGGTTTGGATTAAGCCCGACCTATTTTATTGGATCAATTCAGGATTGATTCGATCTTGAGTCGGCCCGTAATCACCTCTAAACATAATCTTGTAATCGCGTAAAATCTCATATTAAGTATTAAGTCGTAATATTCAACAAAAAATTTCACAATTTTACTCTTTACTCTTTGTTCGTATAACAAAAAATAGAGAGTAGAGACGATCAAATTCACACACAAACCACTTATTTAAAAACGAAAGTAAATCGTCAACAAACAATGCCATGGCTAAAGTCGAAGGATTACATAACCTACTGTCCACATGGCAACATTAATAACAACAAAATTACATAACCAAGCACACCAAAAACCTTTGAATCGAAAGAAATGGTGGAAGACCAGATATCACACATGCTACAAAGTCCACAGCCAACACACTTGAAAAAACACTGATATCAACACACACCTATACCAACAGCAAATTTCAACCACACTTGAGAGCAAAACACCCTGCAAATTCCATTGCAAAAATACTGCCAATGTACTCCAAACACACCTCAAAAGACACCAGCATTACCCTGCAAAATCGATGCCACAAAATGAGCAAAAACAAAGCAAACACATTCCAATACTACTCAAATTGCAATGCCACTAGTAAACCACTTACCATGTCTCTGAATGCCCTGTAAAACAACTGAGCAACATTGCCAAAAACACCCTGGCAGAAATATGAAATAATTATTTTTAAAAAATATTTTAAATTTAGGGTGACCTGTCAGAAATATGAAAACCAACTAATTGGATAAAATTAGTTAGTTTAAGGATTCAATTGTAAATTTTTTAGGTTTAATGGCCTAATTACATTATCTTATGCAGTTCTATGACATATTTGACCCTTATTCCATTAAAATTTGCTAATCCTTATTTTCTGTTAGATTAGACAAAGATTTAAACATAGTGAAAAAGTATAAATCTTTCAACTTTTGCATATAAACACTATATAAATTTAATTTTAGACTTAATAAATTTTTTTTGAAGACTATTGTAAGAAATTTATATTGTTTGCAACATAGCATGATGGCACAATGCTCAAACAGATAGTCTCATGTGATTCCCATGTGAGGTTTTGAAGGAAGATGGCAATACATAGCAAATCCCATATAGTTCAACTTGTATGATGACATCAAGTTAAAACTTTAAGACATCCAAATGGTCATACATCAAGCACTTTAAATATATAAAGTATTCTTCGCATAAAATTTTGATCGAGTTATGAATTCAAGAAAAAAGTAATTTTGTATAAGCATATCAATCATCAAATATTCAAAGACACATTCAATTCAAATCTTCAAGCACAAATCAAGAAGAGAAAATTTAAATAAAAGACCTTTAAATAAGCGGAGCCTTGCCCTTATCAAGTCGGGCCTTCTTTCTTTGTTCCAATTGGTGGCCTTCTTCATCACCCATCTCCTCATCTTCACCTTCTTTCCCTTTTAACATATATTCAATATTTTGAAGAAAATAAAAAATTAGAGTTTAGTTGGTCAAAATGTACACACATACAAAATGCGGTCTCAAAATCATAATTAGACCATAAAAATGTGTAATCTGTTGTTCTTTTCAAAATCACAAATTACTATTTTTCTTGTCTTAAAAAAAAATATATAAAAAACTCAAGAAACTAAACGTAGAAAGGAAAAATAATTGAAAATGGTTTGACATTGTTGAACTTGTTATTAGCATTGTCAAAGTCGAGTTTGTGCATTTAGCTTATATCATTTTATAGAGTAATATTTGGCCCTGTTTGGTAAAATGGCTGTTAGCTGATAGCTGTTTGCTGTTAGCTGATTGTGTTAATTAGAGGGTATAAATAGTTGATAACATTAGCTGATTGTAGAAAAGTGTTTGGTAAATTAGCTGTTAGCTGATAGTTGTTTAATATAATTTCTTTTCTTAAAAAGCTAATTGAAAAAGTTACTAGGAGTAGCTTTTTTAATTTTAGCATTTTGGAGTTGCAAAAAGCCAATTAACCAAACATTTATATTGATGTTTCAAAAAACTTGCAGATGGCGGGTCTAGGTTCCCAGACCCGCCCGAATCAATGAGTACACTAAGCTGGAACTGTCGTGGCTTGGGCAATCCACAGACAGTTCGTGAACTTGAGGATGTAGTGTCCCGGAAGAAGCCTGACTTTGTATTTTTAATGGAAACTAAGGTACGAAGGGATCATGCGAAACGTGTTCGAATTAAGCTTGGGTTTGAGGGATTGTTTTACGTTGAACCAGGAGGAGAACGTGGGTTAAGTGGTGGCATGGCACTGATGTGGCGCCGAAACAGCACAGCGAGACTGATATCCTATTCGAAGAATTATGTTGATATGGAGATCAGTATGAGTGGTTTTCCACATTGGAGAATGACTTGTTATTATGGCTTTCCAGAGAGACATAGGCGCGGGGAGGCATGAAATCTCATTAAATCTTTTAAGCAGCAATTTGATCTACCATGGGTTATGATTGGTGACTTCAATGAGCTTCTATTCCAGTATGAGAAGGGGGGGGGGGGGTTGTAACACCCCGTGTTACGGCCTTCAATCCCGGATTAATTATTAAATTAATCCCGTTAATAATAATTAAATATGATTTAATTCGGTTAGGTTTCCTTTAATTAATTAATAAAGGTCCACCATGAACCGTGGACCCTTGCCTAAATTAGAGTCCTAAGCCTATTAGGAATAAAGAAAGTAAACCCTTTACTATTCAGATTCTAATTAGGAATCCTAGACCTAGTTATCTATTAGGAATAAAGGAAGTAGGCCTTTTACTATTCAGACTACGATTAGGATTCCCTTTAATTAATTAATATGGTCCACTATGGCCATGGACCCTTATCCCTAAACCCAATCCTTAGTTCCAAAAGGAATAGAATTAGCAAGCCTATAATATTAGTTCCTAACCAGGACTCCTAAATATATAAATAGGGGACTTAAGAGGCACCTAGAACCCACACGCCCAGACGCCCCAATCACCCCAGGAGAGCTCCAAGAATTCCCCTAGGAGAAATCAAGAAATCAAGAAAGCTTAAAAGAAAGATCCTTCATAGCCAAGGAATTAATTAAGGCTAAGAGGTAACCCATGTCTCAACAAAACCTATTTTCATAGCTATGATTTCCCCTTAGGGTTTCCCCCGTATGATTGTGAATGGCGAATTACTATGATTATTATTGATGTTGATTTAATGATTCCATGGGGAATCTTGATAATCTTGATATTGGGAGTTTCTTGATAATTGGGATGTTCTTGATGATTAATTGGGATTCTTGATGATGATGTGCTGTTCTTGATGATTATGATGTTCTTATTGCTATCCTTGATGATTATGTGTTGTTCCTACCGAATCTTGCAATTAGAAGATGAATCGTATTCTTGTTGATATAAAAGTGATTAGAACCCTAGGTTGTATCGTATGATCTTACTCTTGGATTATCGGGTGGGAAATCGCATGTTTGGGTGCTGATTATGATTAGAAAAGCATGTTAGGTTATGTGCCGTTCGTCTATCGTAATTGATCCGTTAATTGTCTACGTGTTGATCGTTAATTGCGTTGTAAAGTGTCTAAGCATGGTTTCGGGTTCCACAATGGTTCCCGGGGCGTTTTGTGTGTAAAGAGTCAGTGGGGGGTAGGTGGGGGGGGTAGGGGACCCGCCACCTACCCACTGCCGGAACAGTGATCCCGACAGCGGGCGGCCGGCGGGCGGGCAGCTGCCCGCCGGCGACCCGCTGCCCGGAACAGTAATTCCGGCGGGCAGCCGGCGGGTGGCCCCCACCCACCGGCTACCCGCTGGAGACTCCCCCCCCCCCCCCTCGGGACCCCGGCTTCCCCGTTTGATGTTTCCCCGATCCCCGTGGTGTCCCAACAGACCCCGTTTGTCGTGCCTATGTCTAGTTTGGTATTACGGGTACCATTCGTAGGATTATGAGTCGATTATATTGCATGCTAGTTGAATTGGTACCCGGTTGACCTAGGTGGAAGGAGTATGAACCCCTTAGGACTATTCCTAGTTGGTGATGGTTCACGCATAGGTTTACTTATACGTTTATTTCCCTCCCCAACGTGTAATATGGGTTGCATGTGCTTGCTATGTGTTATGTGTGCGTGTTACCCCAATTCGGTTGCGATCGGATTGGTTATTCCTGAGCTGCGGTTCAGAAGCCGGCTACAGTCAGATGGGAATTCCTGGCTGTGGTCGGATTACGGTATCCTGGGCAGCGGTCCAGAAGCTGGTTGTAGTCAGATGGGAATTCCTGGCTGCAATCAGATGACATTCTCCCGAGCAGCGGCTCGGAAGCTGGCTGTAGTCAGATGGGTTTCCTGGCTACAGTCAGATTACACATTCTTGTGAGCTGCGGTTCATTGGGAGCCAAAGCGAACAACTCCTCCGTGTGGATA